TCTTCTGAACAAATATACATGTATATCTTATGAAAGTAATATAGAAGAAGAGGTTTTCTAGTGCCTCTTGAATCCTTGTGTGCAGGAGAGAAAGAAGTCCTTCCAAAAGCAATATCAGTGGCAAACTTGAATTCTTGAAGAATTTGGCCTCTCAAGAACAATAATTTAACTTCATGCGGAGTCAAGTTTTTTTGCCATTCAAGCTGAATAAATCTGCTATGCTTTTTTTCTTTCTCTTTTTGACTAATTGTGTCCTGATCGCGAATGTGTGGCCTATGATCATTAAGAACAATAAAGCAACGTTTGCTTAGCTGGTTCCGCAGTTTGCAGATCATGTTACACAACCGGTCTCTTAAAATCTAAAGATTTACGGTACCCAATTCATCTCTGATTTTCCAAGGAAGTGAGGATGTATGTTGAAGAATCTAACTAGTTATAAGTGGACGCAAAAAGAAACCTCATATTTCGTATTCTTCTAATCAAGATAATGTACAAAGTGAACATTGGTGACTGGCGAAATTAGCGTTTCATCCCATTTTATTAGCGATTTGGCCCTTCTTTTTAGAGAATACTACATGCCTGAGCAGATAGATAATAATTTCTTGATTAGAAAGAGAAACAACTCGAGACAAATTATTCTCCTAGGTTTCTTCATCCTCCCACTCAAACTCTCTATCTCATGCTTAGCCGCGCTTGCAACTTGCACCTTGTATCAGTGAACACTCTAAAGGGTTCAGACAGACCTTTTTTCCTCCATCAAAAAACTACACTCAACGCTGGGGATCAAGCTTTTTTTCTGATGCAAACAGAGAAGTCTGAGTCTGTGCAGATTGACAATGATTTGCAGAACTGCGGGATGAAAAAAAAAGGAAGGGTTTGTAAGGAACTAAATAGGAGTTCTGAAACCAAGGATTGAGGACCTGCGCCTACAATACTCATCCAAGTGCGTACGCCGAACCAGGGCTCGGCACAAGCTGGAACGAGGAGATTTTGCAATAAAGTTTTCTTTTTTTAGGCTCTGGGGAAGGCGACGACGCCGAAACGTCAGCTCAATAAAACGTTTACCAATCTTGGCATAGGCTATAAGGAATCTGGAAAGAAATTTGCCTAGATTTCCAAAAAAATACGAAACGAATAGGGAATGGATAGCATAAAAAGGAGCTGGCACCCACTGGAGCGGTTTCATGTTTGGGGTAGAGCAAACCGCCCGCACGCCGGAAGCATGCCTGCAACTCTTCTCTTCCTCGGATACCGCAAAAACCATATCTCGTGCTTTCCCTCCTAAACCATATTCAGTTTGACCCTATATCAATTGTGACTAGCCCTGCTCCAAACGCATTTTAGGCATTGTATGCGTGCAAATCTTTATAACAATTTGCGGGATCAACCGATTGCCAAGCAAACGTTTACATACAAACTAATGCAGTGCCAATTTATCATATCCGGAGGTCTAAAATCTTGTTTGGGAAAAGGGAAGGCTGCTTTGAATGAGTTTGGCAAAAATACGTATTTCAGGATTCATAAAACAGAACTTTCTCTGCTATACTCTTCTTCAGCCTGTAATTCTTGTAATTACACAGTAAGGCGCATCCCTAATACGGTGGGCTCACATAACGGCTCTCTCGGCTCTGAGAATGGCGACGACGCCGAAACGTTAGCCGTAATAAAGTCATATTTTCATTCTTAGTAGCAGGCTGAGAAAAATATAGCAGCGATCAACGTCATGCCAAGATTTATAAACAACCAAGTTTGGAGCATTATCA